CGTTTACCTCAGCTGTGGACTTGGATTTCCGATGCTACGAGCACGTTAGCCTACAAACTAGAATGGCGTTATCATGGTGATGCCTCATGAGAGACTTCAAAAGAGCACCTTTACCTGAGTACAAAATATTATCGTTGACAATCCAGACCATGTCTACCAAAGGTACGCCTCTGGGTTCAAACTTATACGCTTCGTGCCGAGTTTAGGTTCGTAAACGACTGCCCTCATATCGCCAGCAATATAGACAACACCATAATAGAAGTCCGGACCTGCGTCTAACCTTGGGAGCCCAGAAATACGGAAAACTGAGGAAGGAAGCCCCACATCAGCCACTCATCCCACAGTGACCTTTATGAAGGTACTGTGAGCAGACTGATATAACGAAGCGTATGAAACAAGCTATCATAGATTGAACAATAAATTGCGCACTGCCGGTGGTTTGGGTAAAGGTTCCCAAGATCATGCTTTGGTTAGCTAGGGGCGCGGTTCATGAGGCGCTCCTCGAGCCAACGGGGCGGTGTGACGCAAATTACACCCCAGAATAGACTCGATAGTGAACTCTAGTAGTCCCTAGCAGGAGGGCAGGGAAGATCTATAGCTCCTGCCGATAAAAAATCACACATACCCGGTGGTATGTATAATATTATCCTTAGTACTCTTGTATTCCGTTGTTTCCTCGCGCCTTATTTAACGTACTCCGCCTAGGGATGGTGGTCCTTAAAACGAAAGATACAACCATTCCGCGTCTAGTGAGAAACCGATTTGTCGCTGCAAAATAGTGAGATGCTACTTTACCCGAGAGATTGATCGTCTTTATACAAGACAGCGAGGCCGTCACGTTATAAGTCTTGCCAACCCTGACAAGCATTCCCAGTAGTGACTTGACATAAACGTGTATCGATAAAGCGGTCGGACCAAACAATACGTACGAAGTGAAAAGGGATCCTGTCGCACCTCTGCAAAGATACAATCGCCTTTTCCACCGAAGCCGACTAAAAGCTTGCGCGGGTTAGGTTACGCGACTCTAGTGTTAAGTCTAGCGTTCGCACGCTAACCTCCTGCACAGTTGCTGTGTGACTGGGCATTCCGGGTTGGCACCACCAGACCGTGGTAGAATGGAGGCCCGAGGACCTTGAGACCGGAGGGTGCCTATCTATAAACTTGCTAATTAGGACGCGTCCAGTGATTGGTCGCCTGGCTCGCATGGTATTGGTGATTGTACTCCTTCCTGTGTCGACCGCAAAAATGGAATCAATCAAACATTTGAAGCTCATCCACGATCAACTCTCTCATTTTTTACATCTTTATTGCGACATTTTTGCCTTGTCGCAACCAGGAATCCAGTTAGGTGGATGCGCTGCCACAGTCTGTTGTGGATAAACACATTGTTAGTCTCGTTTGACTTTGCCGCTTCTGCTAATAGAGAATTAATATATCAGTGATACTACGCTGCTTGGAGGAGATCCTTTTTGTGAGTTATCACACATTTGCACGATAAGAATTTTTGTGTTTTATTGATTACAATAGATGGTTTGTGCCATAGAGGTGGGGAACCGTGTGAACCATGCCCGACTTCCTTCAGTCAGCGTGGAAGATGCGCACTCTTGGCTCTAACAATACCAAATTATGAATGTCTTGCTGCACCCAGAAACCCCGTATGATGGGTACAATAGTGGGCTCTCTTCCAAAACTCATTACAGTGATCGCGATTCCTACCGACCTTCGAAGACTGAAACTCAAATCGACCGGGTACTATTTATAGTGCAGTTTGTCTGGGTCTATAAATGCAGCGGACCCTGATATCTCATAGCCACCCTAAGTAGGTGCCAAGACGCTTATGAGATCAGTATAAATCCCCGGTCACTGATGATGAGAGGACTTTATTACCTCAACCGTGTTTGGGCGAGATACATTGCCTGGCAATTAGCTCCGCAGTGAAAAAATCGCGTACACACTCAATAGACGCGCTCAATAACTGCGTTGCGTGGCATCCAATTGTGCCGCGATATACATGGGACCCGCCGATGGACCGGAGATTATTTCTGAGCAAGTCGCCCACATAAGGAGATTTCCCTTATGTGCACCGCTGGGACCGCCACTAACCTTAGGGGAGAAGGCTGGCATTTGGATAAAACTCAAAGGATACCGGAAGGGAGCCGTATGAGTAGATCACTGCCAGAGAGGGGTGTAGATCAATATGGGTGCCATAGACCAGGGTGTGGTTCAAAAACGAATTGTTTCCAACGTAGATTAAAGAACAACGAAGCGGTCAAAACGGCCTAGACCGCCCTCTCATAACAGAGTGGATCATGGAGAATGATTGCATTTCCCACGTTAGGCGCCAAAATATTGTAAAGTAGTTGTTGCGTGCTGCGCATGTGGTGGTGGCGAAGGCATCGGTATGGGCATTGCAGCGCGTTGCATAGACTCTATTAGGTGTATAGCCAGCTACAGACATTTTTTAGGCAATCGTTGCCAACTTTTTACTTTCGTAAGTGGGGTTGAAGGTCAAAATGGTCCGGGGTAAGCATTAAGGTTTATCCACCCGTACCCCAGATACCAACAAATATCACATGAAAGAGTAGCGGATGGGCTCCATACGCCAGTAGTGACTTGGTCCACTTCGTGCATTGGTATATATAAGGAGCTGAGCTGCAGGACAGGCACGTGACCCGTTGGTCTAAAATGTCCTGTTAGTCTTGCTTATTAGTTGGCGAACGTCTTAAGCATACCCCCATTCTGCGGCTACGACGCCAGAAGGATACGAAGCGTAGTAGGAAAAACTACAGTGCGTCGTGTATTATCTCATCTTTGTGAGAGGTAGGTGCGCCCTGGAATGACTTTACCGGACCCCGTTGTCTAGTCTCATACCCTATAGGCACACAGATTCCTGGTCGACTATGAGTTAATGACCGTGTCAGACAAATCTCGGCTTTGGCATTCAGCATCAATCTTATTACTTTATGCAATTAGCGCGTCGACATAGGTATACACCACGACGGCCAATCCGAGGTACATCTTGAGCCAAGCTCGTTGCGAGAAAAAGGTGGAATCACGAACACTGTTCTTCCTTCTAGGTTGCGTAAACCGTCATAAGCGTCACATCGATAGTAAGTAGCTACCGTATTTCGCTGAGGAACGATAGATTAGCAGAGTCAGTGTGACGGCCCAAGAATGGTTGACATGGCGTTTATTTCTTAGCGATATTTAAATCATGTGGTAAGCCCATGACGAGCCACCTTCTCCCCCATCCGACTAACGTTTCTTAATATA